TTCCTGGAGGAGGCAGGAGCAGAGGGTCTCAGGGCCTGAGCACCACCGCCCACAGGAAGAGGATGGTATCGAGCCCCGGGCACCCGGACCAGGCTCATGACACACAGCTTTCTCACAGGCTAGCTGGATTGCCGGGCAGGTTGGGCAAGTGCCTGGAGGGCCAGTCTCGTCACCATGGGGACGGGGAAGTGACCTCACTTGGGGAGTTTTGAAGAGGTGCCCACGGCTGAACACAGCTGGGCTGCAGTGCTGGGAGCCAGACCGCTGGCAGGACAGTCAACGTCCCTGGCCAGATGTTTCGGGACCCAGGCTCTGTCCTGCCACACCTGCCTGGCGGTGGGGGCCCCTCAGTACACTTACCTGGAGTGCCGCTGCCTGGCACCACTAATGTGAGGCAGAGCCCAGCAAGTGCCCCCTTCCTGTTCTAGGAAAACGTTCCCAACCCAGAACCCTCTCAGCCACTTGAGCGGGGGTCATGTCCTGCCCATGGGCCCCAGGGTGCAGTAGAACAGGGCAGCTTTGGATGCCACCGGCTGGCTGTGTGATCTTGGCTGAGTCACTTCACCTCTCTGAGACCCCCACCCCATGTTCCCTGCAAAACCAGGAAAGCAATCCCCATAGCTGCTACCTCCTGGGGTGACCATGAGAGAGAGATGAGGCCTTGTGGGTCTGGCACCCAGCAGGGACACACCAGCCTCCTTGCGGGTGTCAGACTGGCATTTCTCCGGCCAGCGGCTTCCCCCTCCCCAGCACCTGTGTGACCTAGAAGCCTAGTGGATGCAGCTCCCAGGCGTGTAGCCCAAATCCACACTGGGATCCCCAGTGCCCAGCAGGAAGCTGGGAAGGAGGGGTGTCCCAGTCTCCGCACTGTCCTGGAGGATTGTCTGTGCCCTTGGCTATCAAATGGCCCCAGGAGGGGGGGATCCCCTGAAAGATCCTCACTTGGGGGTCTTATGTCGGTGCTTTGCTTCCTCCCCCTACCCCTGAGAAGCTGGTATCACAGTCCCCACCCTCTAGAGGAGGTCCTGAGAAGAGCCTGCTTGGGGGTGGGGACAAATCCCCTCTTGGCAGTGCAACCCTGGCAGTTCTCTGCACCTCTCTGAGCCACTGTTTTCTGTACCCTAAGACAGGGCAACTGCCCCTCCCAGGGGCATTACTAGGCTGGGAGGTAGCTCAGCCCCAGGTGAGGAAGGGCTGGGAGAGGAGCTGGTGGAGTGGACGGTGGGGAATTGGGTCCAGTGGGTCCAGTGGGGGGTGGCGATGGAGCCCTGGGGTGGGCGCCGGCAGGATGGTGATCAGCCCGTCCTGTCCAGGAGTTGGGAAAGAAGGCTGGGCAGCCCAGCCGGGCGGTGCGCTCAGCTAGCTGCTGTGGCGCCCTCCGCGGTGGCTGGCTCTGGCCCCACATGCCAGCACCTGCCGGGTGGTATGTGGTCTCCTCCAAACACCACAGCCCCCAAGGATGTTGATTATTGTTGCCACCTCCACAGAGGTGACCTGGGGCTCTCCCAGTGCCATGCTGGCCCGTGGCTGGTCAGGACTGGGAGCCTGCTCCCCTCAGCTTCTAAATTCCTGACCAGGTTCATGCTGGTTTGGCCCAAGCAGGAGCCCAGGGCTTTGAGCACCTGAGTGCCCATGGCAGTGAAGGGTCTCTGGCTCCCGGGGCAAGGATGGACCTTGCCTGTTCCCTCCCCTCCGGGACCCTAGACCTGATTCCCACCAGCCCACAAGGGGCTGACCTCCCCAGAGTCTCAACCCTGTCCGTGGGAGGAGCAGCAGAGAGGGGCCCCAGGTTGGTAGGAAGCCCCCTGCGGAGGGCAGGAGGGTGGAGCCACAGAGTCAGGCCCCCCCTACTGCATCCTGTCCTCCCAGCCTCCCCTGAGAGCAGCCAGGGCAGAGGAGCTGGGCACGCCTGTGGGCTGCATGCCTGGTTTCCCGGCCCTTTAGGCTCTCTTCCTGCCACTGGGTTCCTCCGCAGTTTCAAGCCCTGTCTTTGCTCCTGTCTGTGTCTTCTGTCCCTTCTCTGACCCTTTCCTCCAGGGGCCTGTTTCTTCATCAGCGAAGTGGGGGCTAGAATACCCGCTTTGGGGTGTTCTCTGGGTTAGTGGCTGGAGGTTGGGCACAGTGCCTGGCACACGGACACTGAGTGGCCCTTCAAGGTCTCCCCAGGAACTCTTCCCTGGCACCCAGTTCTTCCCCACGGAGTCCTCCAAGCTGTCCTCCTGGACCCCATGCCCACACCCGCTGTGCTCCTGAGCCAGGTGCATGGGGCTCCTCACCCCTGTGGCTGGCTCCCTCCCTTCCCCCACCTGGCCACACAGGCAGGGACCTGTGGAACAGCCGCCACCCGATGCCATGCGCGGAAGCCTGGTGCAGGGCCTCAGCTGACCCCGGTTCTGGGCTGACTGAGAGGTTAGGGGACTCGCCCGGGCACACAGCGAGGGCGGGCGGGGTTGGTTAAACCCAGGACTCGGCTTTATGCTCGTCGTCACCTTCTTGAAACTTTTCATACTTTTAAAATCGGAGCTCCCGTTTTCATATTACGGCCCTTCAGACTGAGGGGGGTCCTGGCTGGTTCTCACCCCCAGGAGCAGGACTCTGTGCGGTCCCCCTGCCGGCAGTCGCGGGAGGAGGGGCCCTGGACAGCCTGTCCTCACCGCGG